AAGAAAAATACGTTAGCATAATACAGTTGACACAGATCCACACCTGCAAGAAAATTTGCTTTTAAAATTACATCTGTATTATGGGGCTTTGGTATTGCAATACACATTGTCCCCTCTCAGAGGGCCCCACATCATGGGACAATATCACCCAATCCAGACAGTCCTCATCTATATTGCAATCTATTTCTAAAGGGCACCTAGTACACCACATAACCTTAACTGCACACACGACGACCCAATAATGCTATAATATATTTGCATGAATATTGTGGCACTCATTTATGTAGGACCACACATGTTGCATAGATGAGACACAACCAGGGAAGAATGAGGGGTCAGCCTTGTTTGAGTGCATAGTTGCTTTGGTGGGTTTATGTCCAAAATGTAATGCTGTTCCATTAATTTATGATAAAGGATGTTCAGGGGCATGGAGACAGTGACAACATGGGCTCTATCCTACCTCCACTGAAGTCGACGGCCAAACTCCCATTAACTTCAATGGGAGCAGACTGGGCCCCAGGTCAAGATGAAAATCAAAATGAAACTATGACTTGCATTGGCAACAATAAAATCATCCCATTCTCCCTGAAAAAGAAATGACACCATCACATAGGATAATAAGAGTTCTTGTATTCTTAGATTATAAGATCTTTGGAACAAGGACTACGTTTACCTTTTAATTTGTCCAGCACCTAACACAACAGGGTCCCCAAACCCAACTGAATGTTACTTAGCATCTAGAAACCACAGTCATGGATCATGACTCCACTGTGCTAGACACTGTACAAACACAAGGGAAAAAAAAAGACATTCACTGCTCCAAACTACTGCAATGCCCGTAAGATAATTCATACTAAATAATGATTATAGCACCCCTCTTTTCCATTACATTAAGTTCAAGCTTCTTGGCCCCACCTTTCACATTTCTGTTCTTCCCTTCTTATCTGTTCTTATCTCTTATCAATTCCCAAACTCTGCTCCACCAATGATGCCAGGTTTGACTGTCCACTTCTCCCACAGCCATCTTCACATCTTCTTTCACCCTGCTCCCAGGTATGGACCTTCCTCCCTAAACTGTTCCATAAGACCACTCCTTCAAATAGCTTCTCCAACCCCACTGCTTCTGCAACAACTACAAGAAACTGGCCAATTCATAATGTTGAGGGGTTGCCAGATACAGCTGATGTATATTAATTTTAAACAAAACCACACCTTTGATTGTATGATGCTTGTCTTCTTAGGCCCTGATCCTGCACTGTGATCAGTATGTGCCCACATGGAGCCCCACTCAAGTCAATCAGACTCTACACAATTTCAGGGATCTGCTCACATGCAATAGCTTACACGGTTGGGGCCTTTGGAGCGGGCACTAACTCTACCTGGGAGCGTGGACAGTGCCAACACATTCAGTGCTACTGAAATATATATAATCAGTAATACTACAGAATGATAAAGGCATAGAAGTTTGTTCTAAATATGATCTTGAATATGCAACAATGTCCTTTTAAACATGTTTTTGTAAAGTATTTTCAACAATAAGATAAAGTACAGCACACACCTCAAGTGTATTAATATTAATTCTAATCTATTGTGTTGTACTGAATTTGTTTACCTAAAGTTGAACAATCGCATCAACCTTTGTTAGTGTGATTGCACAACAAACTACATTAGACTTGAACAACTAAGCTGCTCGCTCTCTCTCTCTCTCTTTAGGAAAGATATATAGAAGTTGCTCACTTTTAGTAACACCATTATTTTAAATTCAGTATGCAACACATAGTGATATTACACAGAACAAAAGCAAAATCTTAGCACCACGTAAATGCTTTCATAACTATGTAGTGTACAAAATATGACACGGTGTGCAGATCCTGTGTAATAACCTCACACCCAGTATACACTGTAAGGCACAAGATAAAGCAGAATGTTTTCAACCACTGAACATTATTGCACAATAAAAGCACATCCTGTTGTATCTTGTTCCAACTATAATATGAAGTCAACTATACAACAATGATTTTCAAAATAAATGACTGCACATATAAAAACAAAATCCATAATTTACACATCATGTCAGCTAAAAATGTATCATTCATGTGTTTGACATCACAGCTGTAAATTACAGCTTTAACCATACCAATGCAAAATTCCTTTGGCTTTCTCACCCCAGAATGAGCATGACTGCCATTTCTGACACTTTTCATCCATGTCTGTGCCTTTTGGAAATAAACAGACACAGTAAATACCTCCCAAGATATACTCTATGTTTAAATGCTGTTCCATCAGTGGCACAGCAGTGGAAAGGTGTTTTGTTTTTTTTAATATCATAATGAAGTATTAATTAAAACAAACACCAAAACCGAAAGCAACAAACATAATTTGGGGTCCCCTAACACAAGAAAGTGCAATAGCAAGGCTATAGTGCTCTGGGCTTCTCGTTACCCCAAAAAAGAACAGGAGTACTTGTGGCACCTTAGAGACTAACAAATTTATTAGAGCATAAGCTTTCGTGGGCTACAGCCCGCTTCATCGGATGCACAGAATGGAACATATAGTAAGAAGATATATATACACATACAGAGAAGGTGGAAGTTGCCATACAAACTATAAGAGGCTAATTAATTAAGATGAGCTATTATCAGCAGGAGAAAAAAACTTTTGTAGTGATAATCAAGATGGCCCATTTAGACAGTTGACAAGAAGGTGTGAGGATACTTAATATGGGGAAATAGATTCAATATGTGTAATAACCCAGCCATTCCCAGTCTCTATTCAAACCCAAGTTTGTGGTATCTAGTTTGCATATTAATTCAAGCTCAGCAGTTTCTCATTGGAGTCTGTTTTTGAAGCTTTTCTGTTGCAAAATTGCCACCCTTAAGTCTTTTACTGAGTGGCCAGAGAGGTTGAAGTGTTCTCCTACCGGTTTTTGAATGTTATGATTCCTGATGTCAGATTTGTGTCCATTTATTCTTTTGCAAGGATAGGTTCCTGGGTTAGTATTTTTGTTGTGTGGTTGCTGGTTTGCTTCAGGTTGGGGGGCTGTCTGTAAGCGAGGACTGGTCTGTCTCCCAAGAACTGTGAGAGTGAGGGATCATTTTTCAGGATAGGTTGTAAATCTTTGATGATGCGCTGGAGAGGTTTTAGTTGGGGGCTGAAGGTGAGAGCTAGTGGCATTCTGTTATTTTCTTTGTTGGGCCTGTCCTGTAGTAGGTGACTTCTGGGTACTCTTCTGGCTCTGTCAATCTATTTTTTCACACCAACCAAGGAACCTATCCTTGCAATAAAGCACGATGCCAACTCTGTCCACATATTTATTCAAGTGACACCATCATAGGACCTAATCACATTAGCCACACCATCAGGGGCTCGTTCACCTGCACATCTAGCAATGTGATATATGCCATCATGTTCCAGCAATGCCCCTCTGCCATGTACATTGGCCAAACCGGACAGTCTCTATGCAAAAATCCAGCTGTTTGACTCAGTCTACTTTCTAATGCACAAACATTCACATAACAAAAGCCATCATCATGACTGACACCCTTATTGGCTGCCTCAGCAGAGAAGCAAAGCACTGGACAGACATAAGCAAACTACCCTCTAACCCAGTGGTTCTCAACCTATTTACCATCGTGGACAACATATGCAGCTCTCTATGTGTTATGTGGGCTGCATCCACATAATATATATACTACCTGTGTGGCCCAGAGGATGTCACACAGGCTGCAGCTATATGCTGATTGGGCCACAAGCAGCCCAGGGGTTGAGAACCACTGCTCTAACCTGTATAGGTGATCTGTTTAACTATTGTTGGGGCTCCAAAGGAAAGGTTGCTACCTGTAGCTCTGCCCCAGGCAAACTGACAAATATTCACTCCTACCAGCCTGCAGTCACCCATGCAGATAGTTACCGATTACTCTGCTGCCCCTAATATTTTGTTGCCCCAAGGGAACTGCCTTCTCTGCCTCTCTAGCAGAAACAACTCTATGGGGGGAATAAGGGAGAGGCTGCACTACTTCTGTCCATGTTGATCCCACTCTACAAATGAACAGAAAACTGTCTCCAAAATCATTAGCCAGCTCTAAACTCACCATTGCAATGTATATTATTATTAGGAGTCTGACATCACATCAGGGTAAGCACAGTCTGACATCTACAGTTAAGTCAGTGATGGTGTAAGTGCTGGCTGCGTTACAGCCGTTGGATATTGCAATGCATATTCTGTTAAACACTAAAAATGATATTTTATGTAGGGCCTCTCCCTGGACATCCATTCCTTATGAGGATAAGAAATCTCCAGCCAGTTATTTATATTGTCTAACTCCTGTAATCTGAGAAAAATCCACACAACATTAGTGTCTTACTTTAGATATTAATGTCCACTTCTGCTGCATATGTTATGGCCAGCTAGCTCCTTTAAGAATGGGTTGTAAAGCAATCTAGGTTAAAAACGAACACAAAACCAGGAAAATGCAGAGGATGGGAACACCCAAACCCCTGAATCCTCTCTCTGGAGCAGGGGCACTTTGCGAACTGCAGAGGAGGAATGAAATCTATTCCACGTACAATAACCAGCCAGCCTACCTAGCAAGGACATGAATAATACATGGAAGGAAGAGGAATCTGAGGCACACAAATAAGCACATGAATAGGTCAGCCTTTGGGGGGAGGATGAGGCAAAGGGGGATCCCCCAGCTCCCGCACCCACAGGCAGCTGCAGGGAGCGGATATGTCCTGGAAACTCGGCTTGGGGAAGTGGGCGGGTTCCACCGCTTCAGCTCGCAAAGGGCAGCGGCAAATGCGATGGCCAGGCCTCCGAGGGGCTGCAGGAGGCGGCGGAGGCAGCATCTCTGCCCCCTTCCCCAACCGCTCGGCACCCGGCGGCCGCTCCAGCGCCTTCCCGCTCCCCACCCGGCGGGCCTCCCCGCCAGGCTCCCGGGGGAGGCTTCGCCGCAACTAGCTCCCGACGCAGGGGAATGGGGAGACGGGGCAACACTCACCTCAGGGGCCGCCAAGCCCCTCCGCCTCCTGCCGGGTCGGCTCAAGCAGGTCCCCCAGTCCCAGGGCAGCGGGAGGGCCGGGCCGGGAGACGAGCGGCTCCAACTCCGGGACACGGCTCCGTGGGGCGCTCCCGGAGGCGGCAGCGGAGCGGCCTCTCCGGGCAGCAGGGGGAGGGACCGAGCGGGGAAGGGGCGGGATAGAGGGGGCGAGCTCCGCCCGGCCAGGCAGGGGCGGGGAGAGAGAGGGAATTAAGATACAGGGATGGAGGGAGAGGGAAGGGGCAGACAGAGGCCTGGCTGAAGGAGAAGGGAGGATGGGGAGGTGGAGGGCAGGGTGGGAGAGCGAAACGGGGGGAAATGTGCTGGCTCCCCCCTTCTTCTCTTGCTTGCTGCCCTTTTGCCTCCTTCCCCTCTCCCTGGCTCCCTCCGTTCCCGCCCAGTATCTCCTCATGCCTCCGACCCTGGCTGTGCCCTGAGGCAGCCCAAGGGGGAATGGGGTGAACTAGGAACAAAGGCCGAGAACGTTCCAGAAGAACGTCCCGACGGGGGCAGATGGACGAGGCTGTGGCATGATCTCCCAAGGGGAATGGAAGGAGCCCCAGTGTCTGGGATGCTTCAAACTAGAGGGGACTCTGGAAAGCATACAGTGAGCGCCAATCTTAACGCTAGCTGCAAAGAGATTAAACTACCTGAAAGGCAGTGTGGTCCAGTGACTAGGGCACTGAATTAGGACTCAAGAGATGGGGTGATGGAATGAGGGGCACTGGGAGTGCAGTAGCAGCCCCTGACTTTAAGTGGTTTCTATCATATATGGGGTTTACAGTTTTGTTCAATGGCTTTCAGTACCCCCACTATAAAAATTGTTCCAATGCTGCTGAGACTGGGGATTTATTCCCTGCTCTGTTGGGTGACCTTGGGCAAGTCACTTCATCTCTCTGTGCCTGTGATTTCCTTCTCACCCTTTGTCTGTTTTGTCTCCTTCAACTGTAAACTTTTCAAGGGAGGGCCTCTCTTATTATATATATATATGTACAGTGCCTAACGCAGTGGCTTTCCACCTTTCCAGACTACTGTACCCCTTTCAGGAGTCTGATTTGTCTTGCATACCTGAAGTTTCAACTCACTTTAAAATGACTTGCTTACAAAATCAGACATAAAAATACAAAAATGTCACAGAACACTACAATTGAAAAATTGCTTACTTTCTCATTTTTACCATATAATTATAAAATAAATTGATTGGGATATAAATATCATACTTACATGTATATTATATACATCGTATATAGAGCAGTATAAACAAGTCATTGTCTGTATGAAATTGTAGTTTGTACTGAGTTGGCTAGTGCTTTTTCTATAGCCTGTTGTAAAACTAGGCAAATATCTAGATGAGTTGATGTACCTCATGGAAGACATTTGCTTGCCCCCAGGGGTACACGTATCCCTGGTTGAGAACCACTGGCCTAGCACACTGAGGCCTTGATCTCTGTGGAAGGTGTTTTGGTGATCATGAAATATAAACATTGCAGTAATGGACAAATAATGCTTCTTCGCCTTTGTAACTGGATAATAACGAAATTAGAGGAAGGAGAACATGTCAGCTGGACGTTGCTACTAAAATGATCAGCAGTGAATTACTATTAATAATTCTCAGTGCTTTTAATCTTCAGATGTCAAAACTCTCTGAAAGTGATGAAATTTCTACATGCAGTTGTCCTCTTCCTGAGTGGGGTAAACTTTAAGGAACACATGAGTGTGCTGTGCCCTCTACCCCATCAGATACCAGGACCAATTCACAGTCCTTGTCATAGTCTTTAAAGCTCTTATAATGGGCCTGAACCAGGTTACTTCAATGACTGCCTTGTCATTTGCAACCTTTCCTCCCTGAGACAACTGTGATCATCAGGGACAGAGATACTCCATTTGCCCACTATCCATTTCCGGCAGCGGCCGCGAGAGCAGGACGATGTTGGCCCATCTGCAGTGGATGATCGTTCGCAACAGCTCCAACTTCCTCCTCAAGCAGAACAAAGCAACCTACAGCACCGAGCCGAACAACCTGAAGGCCAGAAACTCCTTCCACTACAACAGGCTGATCCATCGCAAAACGGTCGGCGTGAAGCTCATGGCAGACGGGAAGGGGATTGTGGTGGAGCTGAAGAAACGGGCAGTCCAGCGCAAGCCAGCCACGTCCTATGAGAAGACGGCCATTAACAAAAACGCCCAGGCTACGCTCAACAGCCTGCGTCACATCATCCACAAGAACAGCTTCCGCAAGGATCTGTGCATGAGCGCCCTGCGCTGTGCCAGTGCCATCCTGCAGAGCCAGAAGCCGGTGGTGGTGAAGAAGAAGAGAACCTGGGCTACCAAGACGGCGTGAATGGCTAGCATGTCCCAATAAAGGATTCAAACGGGGGGGGGGGGAGAATGTCAGGAGCTAGAAGCAATGCATATCTGGTGGGAGGTCCTACATAGTGGAATGCTCTTTTGGCGAGTGCACTCTGATTTAACCATTTTTACAGTCCAATGCAAAACCCACTTTTTTACATTTGCAAAAGCCAGCCAGCAATAGGAGGGGTGATAGAGATTACATTAAAAAAAACACATGAAACATCAAGCAAAATCCAAATGATGAATCTCCAGAAAAGGGAAATCAGAGTTCTTACCCTCTCTTAGTTGACTATGTTCAGCGCTTATATACTACAGTGATTGGTTCTCTATAAATAGCTTAGATGGGGAAATGGCACTGTTATGTTTCAGAATCAAGGTTCTATTGAGATGAAAGGGGCAATTCATGACACTCAGATTTAAACAGAACTTTTATAGACATATAGGCCCATCTATAATAGGCAAAAAGTAATTGCTATCAAATGTAGGGTGTAATACCTTCAACATACCTCACAGAGCAGTAAATATGTTAGAACCATTGATTAGTTGCATCACCACAGAGAAAATCATTAGCTCATATTCAGCCGGGACAGTGTATTGTTTTTCCCCTGCAGTGTGGACAGGAAGTCACAGGCATTGTAGTTGCACCTATACAACCAATCCTCCCAGGTTCCTTCCAGAGTGCTGCACTCCCTGGTAGAATAATGGTGTATAGAGTGCACTGAGCACAGACATGCCAATATGGGTTTTCCAAAACCTGAGTTGCTGCACATACAAGCAGTACAACCAGCAATTTAATGTAATTACTGTCCCTGCAGTGGTGCACTTGCCTAATGTAAACAGGCCCAACAAGACTAAATGGCATTGATTCACACTTGGAGGGTTTTCTTTACAGCAAGAAGGGCTACGGATTTAGTGATTTTTAAATTACAACAAATTCTACAGAAACTGCTGGGGACCACCAGAGAAGCACTGGAACAGCAACGTGACCTGATCCTGCTCACTTCCATCCCTGGGTTAGAAGGGAAGAACAGCCGAGAACAGGAAGGGGATATCACTCTGCTCAGCCAGACACTCAGGATGTCATGGAAAGAGACTGATTGGTTTCTCAATCACTCACACACTAAAAGGGCTGGGGAGAGAACCTTTCTCTGCTTAGTCACTGCTTGTGGTGGGAGAGACAAGACAGACTGAGTGACTGACTGGCACACGCAGCCTGACCTGGATAACAGGCAGCAAAGGCACAGCTGTGCTGATGGAACTGCCTCTGGCTACTACCCAGTTCAGGCATTACAAACAAGCCTGTCTCCGCTCTATCAGCACTGTCTGCACAGTGAATGAATCATCCAGAAGGGAGGGAGAGAGAGAGATTGTCTCCTTCTGAGACAGGATTGGCAAGGGAGGCACAGGGCTGCCATTTGAGGAATAAATGCATCCCCACATTTATGCATAGAGAAGCTTGTGTTGAAAAGGAGTCATCTTGACAGGGACAGGTAGTGCTTTAGTTGTAAGAGGGGGAAGCCAAAAAAAAATCCTCCTCCAGGCTCCCACCCCTCTAAACTATCTATCCCATGGCTCTAGGTGTTGAGTAACTTTCTAGCCCACAAGAGGACTGTATTTCCTCCACTTCTTTCTGCATATATTTTGTGCTTTGCATTATTGTTTGCTACATGTATTATGACACATTATTTACCTCGGTCCACAGCTTTGAGACATTTTTATGCGGCTTCCTCCCTCTAGGAATTTCACAAATAAATCACTGGTGATAGGTAATAGTTAGATGGCATAATAATATATTTTTACTTACCTAATCACATCAGCCACACCATAAGAGGCTCGTTCACCTGCACATCTACCAATGTGATTTATGCCATCATGTGCCAACAATGCCCCTCTGCCATGTACATTGGCCAAACTGAACAATCTCTACGCAAAAGAATAAATGGACACAAATCAGACATCAAGAATTATAACATTCAAAACCAGTCGGAGAACACTTCAACCTCCCTGGTCACTCAATTTCAGACCTAAAAGTCACAATTCTCCAACAAAAACTTCAAATACAGACTCCAATGAGAAACTGCAGAATTGGAATTAATTTGCAAACTGGACACCATTAAATTAGGCTTGAATAAAGACTGGCAGTGGATAGGTCATTACACAAAGTAAAAACTATTTCCCCATGACAGGTTTCAGAGGAACAGCCGTGTTAGTCTGTATTCGCAAAAAGAAAAGGAGTACTTGTGGCACCTTAGAGACTAACCAATTTATTTGAGCATGAGCTTTCGTGAGCTACAGCTCACTTCATCAGATGCATACCGTGGAAACTGCAGCAGACTTTATATATACACAGAGAATATGAAACAATACCTCCTCCCACCCCACTGTCCTGCTGGTAATAGCTTATCTAAAGTGATCAACAGGTGGGCCATTTCCAGCACAAATCCAGGTTTTCTCACCCTCCACCCCACCCCACAAATTCACTCTCCTGCTGGTGCTAGCCCATCCAAAGTGACAACTCTTTACATAATCAAGTCGGGCTATTTCCTGCATAAATCCAGGTTTTCTCACATCCCCCCCACCCCCATACACACACAAACTCACTCTCCTGCTGGTAATAGCTCATCTAAACTGACCACTCTCCAAGTTTAAATCCAAGTTAAACCAGAACATCTGGGGGGGGGGGGGGTAGGAAAAAACAAGAGGAAACAGGCTACCTTGCATAATGACTTAGCCACTCCCAGTCTCTATTTAAGCCAAAATTAATAGTATCCAATTTGCAAATGAATTCCAATTCAGCAGTTTCTCGCTGGAGTCTGGATTTGAAGTTTTTTTGTTTTAAGATAGCGACCTTCATGTCTGTGATTGCGTGACCAGAGAGATTGAAGTGTTCTCCGACTGGTTTATGAATGTTATAATTCTTGACATCTGATTTGTGTCCATTTATTCTTTTACGTAGAGACTGTCCAGTTTGACCAATGTACATGGCAGAGGGGCATTGCTGGCACATGATGGCATATATCTGGCATATATCTGGTGATATATCACCTGATCAAGATCCTCTACAGCAAACAGGGAAAGATTAAGAATGAGCTCTCAAAAATGGATACTCTCATAAAAAACCAACCTTCCACACAAACTTCCTTGTGGCTGGATTTTACTAAAACTAGACAAGCCATTTACAACGCACACTTTGCTTCTCTACAAAAGAAAAAGGACACTAAACTTTCTAAACTACTACATGCTACAAGGGGCCACAGCAATGGTTCCCTCAACCCACCTAGCAATATTGTTAACCTATCCAACTATACTCTCAGCCCAGCAGAAGCAGCTGTTCTATCTCGGGGCCTCTCCTTCTGCCCCTCCACCCCCACGAACATGATACAGTTCTGTGGTGACCTAGAATCCTATTTTCGACATCTCCGACTCAAGGAATATTTCCAAAATACCTCTGAACAACATACTAATCCACAGAGGTCTCCCTACCAACACTACAGAAAGAGGGATTCTAGATGGACTCCTCCTGAAGGTCGAAACAGCAGACTGGACTTCTACATAGAGTGCTTCCGCCGACGTGCACGGGCTGAAATTGTGGAAAAGCAGCATCACTTGCCCCATAACCTCAGCCATGCGGAACGCAATGCCATCCACAGCCTCAGAAACAACTCTGACATCATAATCAAAAAGGCTGACAAAGGAGGTGCTGTTGTCATCATGAATAGGTCGGAATATGAACAAGAGGCTGCTCGGCAGCTCTCCAACACGAGTTTCTACAAGCCATTACCCTATGATCCCACTGAGAGTTACCAAAAGCAACTACAGCATTTGCTCAAGAACTTCCTGAAAAAGCACAAGATCAAATCCGCACAGACACACCCCTGGAACCCCGACCTGGGATATTCTATCTACTACCCAAGATCCATAAACCTGGAAATCCTGGGCGCCCCATCATCTCAGGCATTGGCACCCTGACAGCAGGATTGTCTGGCTATGTAGACTCCCTCCTCAGGCCCTACGCTACCAGCACTCCCAGCTACCTTCGAGACACCACTGACTTCCTAAGGAAACTTCAATCCATCGGTGATCTTCCTGATAACACCATCCTGGCTACTATGGATGTAGAAGCCCTCTACACCAACATTCCACACAAAGATGGACTACAAGCCGTCAAGAACACTATCCCCGATAATGTCACGGCTAACCTGGTGGCTGAACTTTGTGACTTTGTCCTTACCCATAACTATTTCACATTTGGGGACAATGTATACCTTCAGATCAGCGGCACTGCTATGGGTTCCCGCATGGCCCCACAGTATGCCAACATTTTTATGGCTGATTTAGAACAACGCTTCCTCAGCTCTCGTCCCCTAAAGCCCCTACTCTACTTGCGCTATATTGATGACATCTTCATCATCTGGACCCATGGAAAAGAAGCCCTTGAGGAATTCCACCATGATTTCAACAATTTCCATCCCACCACCAACCTCAGCCTGGTCCAGTCCACACAAGAGATCCACTTCCTGGACACTACAGTGCTAATAAACAATGGCCACAAAAACACCACCCTATACCGGAAACCTACTGACCGCTATTCCTACCTGCATGCCTCCAGCTTTCACCCTGACCACACCACACGATCCATCGTCTACAGCCAAGCTCTGCGATACAACCGCATTTGCTCCAACCCCTCAGACAGAGACAAACACCTACAAGATCTCTGTCAAGCTTTCTTACAACTACAATACCCACCTGCAGAAGTAAAGAAACAGATTGATAGAGCCAGAAGAGTTCCCAGAAGTTACCTACTACAGGACAGGCCTAACAAAGAAAATAATAGAACGCCACTAGCGGTCACCTTCAGCCCCCAACTAAAACCCCTCCAACGCATTATTAAGGATCTACAACCTATCCTAAAGGATGACCCAACACTCTCACAAGTCTTGGGAGACAGGCCAGTCCTTGCCTACAGACAGCCCCGCAACCTGAAGCAAA